ATGCACTACACAAACAGATGAGCCGAGGTGGGCAAAACAGGATCTACTGTATCTGCTCAAAGGACACCTACACAAGTTAGCACACAGCCAGCGTCCACACTGCAGGGACCCTGCAAGAGTTAGCACACAGCCAGCGTCCACACTGCAGGGACCTATACTAGTGAGCACACAGCCAGTGTCCACACTGCAGGGCCCTACAGGACTCAGCACAGAGCCAGTGTCTACACTGCAAAAACCCTACCAGAGTTAGCACACAGGCAGCGTCCACACAGGCCCTACAGAGTGAGCACAGAGACAGAGTGGAGAAAAAGGCAGTGATGGTGTGTTCACAACACCCTGAGAACTCAAACCCACGCTGGATGAGCCTCTGAACCACAAACAAAAGATAGCAAGGTTCACAATTAGCCAGGCTAACACCAGCAAGTGGCTGAATATCCCAAGCAGATGAACTAGCAGGAAGAGGCCACGGGTTGTGAAGCAGCACAGTAAGGTCACAGACTAGCAGCTCAAGGTGTGACCTGGACCAGCAGGGGCTGGAAGTGAAGGCACTTCAGTGCAAAGCACTTTAATCTTCTCCTGCAGAGGTGTCAGGACTCTCTGAAGAAGCACTATGATGTGGGAGGGTGGCATAAGCTGAAGAGTGGCGTCAAGCCCGGGACAAGGCCAGCGGCTTCAGTGGCTGGGACGTCCTGGGGTGAAGAGCAGAGCTTGCAGCGTCATGGAGGATTTCTCAGCACGCTTGGCTTGAACATCCAGCTTCAAGTAATCTGTCTCAGCCGCCCAGGTAGGACTGAGTAGAGATGGCCATCTGGTAACTGAGTCTAGATAAGAAGGAGCGTCTGTTACTCAGGATTGGTGGTCCTGGGGACAGTGTGGGAATAGAGGATTTGGGGGATTGCGTTGCAGGTGGTGGAGTATGTGGCTTAGAAGTTGGCTTTCTAAAGAGACCTCGGGTTAGCCAATGTGCTTACGTTCGCAGTGGCTCTTATAAACCACATGCCCGTGAAGGCACACACCCCCAGAACAAATGTGATGTCCCCCCCTTTCCCCACATTGTTGAGCCCAAGGCCTTCACATTGAGCTGCACCCCCAGCCCTTTACTACGACACGGTATCCATAAGTTGTTGAGTTCCAGGCTGAGCCAGATCGTTGGCACCTCCTGCCTCAGCCTCCCAGGGTGCTCGGATCAGAAGCGTGGATGGACCATGCTTCCAGGGGCAAGGTTCCTTTATTTTTTGTTTTGTTTTGTTTTTTGTTTTTTGTTTTTTTTTTTTGTTTTTTGGGGTTTTTTTCTTTTCAAAGTTTTATTGATAAACATATAACAATGAGACAGTTTCAAATCAAATCGAAAGTACAGTTTCAACAAATAATACACTGCATATATTCTTCTTAGTGGTTAATTGCTGTACAAGATGCAGACTTGTGATCCTTTTTACAAACACCATTAGAACAAATCATTCTATTCATTAAGAGAATGCAACTATGTATCTATCCCAACCACTTTGAATACACAGAAACAAAATGGACATTCATAGTTATACCCCATTTTTTCTAAGTTCCGTTATTGAATATTATAGGTGTGTAAACTCAGCAAAATATTCTAAACGAGTCCAGTAGCCCATAATAGCATTGGGTCTTCTGTTTAACTGGGTTTTGTTTTGTTTTGGTTTGGTTTTTTTTGGGCTGCAAGTTTCCTTTAAATAGCAGCTACTAGAATGTCGAACTTCAAATTAGTCCCCTGACCTTTTGTTTATTTTGAGACAGGAGTTTGCTAAGTTGCTGGGGTCACCACCCAGCACCAGCCGCCCGAGTAGCTGAGATTACAGGTGTGCACCACTGCCCCACATGTGGAAGTGCTGCCATGGTCGGACTGGACTGTGTTCCCTCCTCAACAGTGCCAACAGTGACAGACCTAACTCTTTTTAGAGACAAGAACACCACCGTAGAGGGGTGTTTTGTCATACTGTCAGAGCAGGGAATGTGTCCCCCAAACTCAGGGCAGCCAGGCTACTTTGAAGTGAGTTGTTAGTTTGCTGGAGGTGCAGAAGGGAGGGGGAGGGATAGAGGGCTGAAGACCTGGGAGAGACATCTTGGGGGAACACACAGAAAACGTTCAGGAACTAGTGGTCTCTAATCACATTGCTTTAATCAAAGGGGAACGAAAGTAATTGGAGGCCAAGGAAACTGGAACCTATTATAAAGCTCCATTATGCCTTTTAACTCTAGGAAGAGCTTGATATCTGCCTCGGGTCCTACCCCGGGATGCTCCAGATTCGACTCACAGTAGAAGAGATTGCAAACATACAGGGACCCAGGAGGGCAGACTTGTGCAATCTGTGACATAACACAAATGTTTAAAATCAGAAAATAAGACATATTTTATAAATTTGCAATAACACGTTGGGGGGCTGGTCGTCTTATTGTTGCTGTTATGTTGGGGTTTTGAAAGAGTCTCATTATGTAGTTCCAGCTGGCCTTGAACTCACTTTGTAGCCCAGGCTGGTCTTGAACTCCCAGTGATCCTCCAGCCTCAGCCTCCCAAGAGCTGGGATCACACATGCGTGCCACCACACCTGGCTTGGTTCTTTATCTGTCTGTATGTTGTCCAAGCAACCTAACTGCTGTCCTAGACAGCACCCTCACTGAGGACTAAAACTGTCACTATCCTTAGTACATTTGCCAGCGGCTTCTCCAGTGTAGGGGAGATGTCGTGGTGGATATTGGAGCCTTTGATCTCTCTATTACGAAATTTAAAGACAGCTGTATACACTCTCTAGATTGTTGGTGTTTGCTTATAAACCCTGCAATGTCTGTGATCAAGAGGAACTCTTCACCTTAAAACTGAAAAGGAATTCTGTTTCGCAGACACAGAGCCAGAGGCAGGGTGCAGCAAGGACCTCAAGGTCACTGGCTGCAGGGCACAGGCGCACCAGCACTTAGCACCAGGATTCCTTTATACCCCTGTACTTTATTTCTCTCCTGCAGACTGTGTGGCTGGCTGGCACTTGGCAAACAGTATACGACCCCTTAATGTCTCTGCCCTTGGCACATTTCTGCCTTTCAGTCTGGTCTCCTTCCCAAGGACAGTGCTGTTCTGTACACTTGGAGGCGTGTGCTAGGCCTGTGAGGACCTGAACCATTTCATGCACTCACGTGTTTATGGCACTCGCCTGCCATGTGCCAGGCAGGGTGCAAGGTGCTGTACAGTAGTGAGCCCCCAGGATCCCTAATTTCCGGAGAGAGGACAAAAAACCCTGATGAATACACACAGGGTGGGCGGGGCTGCAGAGGGTGCTGCCCACAGAGAGAAGAAGGGCTGATAATGTGGGGTTGGGAAGCAGGAGGTGGAGGTGACAGTAGGGACCTGGATGGAGGAAATGCAGCCCTGGGATTTCCTGGGTTTCCTCTCAGCGCCCTCCAGGTCCCTGTTATCTGCAAGCAGTGCTGATGTCACTTGTCTGAAACAAAAGGACGCAGGGTGGGGGGTCTGGCTCCCCCCTGACAATAGCAGTGGCCCTCTTCAGACCAGACTGAAGGCTGTCTTTCATATATAGAGAGTTAATGGAAGATTTTACTCTCTGGGCTGTCTCACCAGTAAAGACACTTCCAGTAGCCAAGCAGGCTGACAGTCCCTCATGGCAAAGGGTGCAGGCGGAGCTCACAAGCAGCCACCACAGAGGAAACAGCCTCTCAGTGGCTCCTAGCTAGTACTGTGCTCTGGTTTGTACTTGGGAGTTTTTTGTGGGCTCAGCTAACGTGGTCCCCAAACAAGGTCAGCCTGGAAGGATGCATCCACCTGCCAGTACTCCCTGTATCTTAATGATAGGCCACTCTGTGGCTTGACTGAAGTCAGGAATTGATAGCAAGCTTCTTGGACAGATGCTGTTAGCTGCAGTGTTCCCTGAAGAAGCCCCAGCAGAATGAAGTAGGGAGAAGGAAATCTGACCCAGGTATTCACGGTGAATTTCACAGGTCCACAGGGGAAAGTGGTAACCTTTGAAGTCTCCCTGATCCGGAAATCTCCATACCCTAAGGCCAGAGAGTTCTGTGTTAGAACTTCTCAAAGAATCATCTTGAAAAGTGGAATCCATTTGGCTGATAAAGAATTTATTTGAATTACAAATCGTGTTGTCGGAATCAGTTTCCAACCTATTCTAACAACAGAGCCACAATTTTTGGTCTCTGCCACTTTAAAAAAGTTTTTAAAATTCCATTTCTCAGCTGCCTTGGCTTGCATCAGGGAGAACAGAATGGACTGCAAAGCTATTTGCTTGCCTGGTCTATTTTTGGCAGCTTGTTTGTGCATTTTTAGATCAATTACAATAGGCTATTGTTCAGTTGTATACTGTAGAAATGTATATGTTGCCAGTCACTCCCAAGGAGTCATGCGGTACAGGATTTTTTAAAAAGTCGAATACCCAACACATTGGTGGTCGTTTTAAGTAACTTTTATTGAACAGCACTTTAGAAGCTGACCACGTTTTAAATACCGCCTCCCCTCCTGTCCTGGCATCCTATCACCTGGTGAGGAGGAGGCTGTCAGAAACTCACGTTTGACCTTCACAAGGCATCAGACCTCCACTTGGTGCTAAAGTGTCATTTCTTGCTAGTCTTGATTTTGGCCTGTCTTGGTCTTTTGCGAAGATGAGTGAACCGAGTTCCCCCTTCCCTTAGCGCACCTATGAATATAGCTCAGAGGCAAGGTTAGCCTGTAGGCTCGCGGGGCATTTGCCTGCGTTCGCCCAGCCTGCGTGCGGGACCCCTTGCCAGCGTCCTCGCGTGCGTGCGTGTGTCGGGCGGCCTGAGCTCGGTGGTGCTTTTGCTATTATTCGTGGTGCACGTGGACCTCCAGAGCGAGGCTCCTATGCTAAGGAGCCCTCAGTGGGAACCCGCTCCGGGCGGGGTGAGTGGACGGGCGGTCCCGCCCTGGGACGGGGCGAGGCCGACAGAGGGCGGGGCCCGCTTGGGCGGCGGACACCTGCGGGCGGCCTGTGACAGTTCCTGGAAAGCGGCGGCGCGCTCTGACCCGGAGTGCTCCTCCTGCGGCCGGGAGCCGGGGCCGGGATCCGCAGGAAGAGAGGCTACTCCCTTTCGGATTTTATCCGCGGCCTCTGGTTACCCTTGAAGCTCCCGGCCCGAGCGGAGACCGGAGACTGGTGCTGTCTGCCGACAGGAGGAGGAGGAAGAGCAGGAACAGGAGCGGGCGCGGGACGGCAGTGCCCCCGACGGGCGGCCGGAGCGCAGGGAGCGGAGGACGGGGCGCCCGGCGCAGGCCTTCGGGTGAGGGGGCTGCCGGGCGGGGCCGCGGGGTGCGCTCGGGAACGGGGCTCCGGGGGCTCGGGGCAGGGGACGGGGACGGGGCGCGGGCGGAGGCGGCTGCCCAACCTGGGCCGGGGCGGCGGGGTCGCGGGGAGGACCCCACTCCCGGCCGCTGCTCTCTACCCGGCCTCGGCCCGGCGCCTCCTGGCGGCCGCGCTTGGAGCTGGAGGGGGCGTTCCAGACAGCGCGAGGTCCGACCCCCAGGGACTGAGCGCTGCCGCAGGGGGCGGCCGGGGCTGTGGGTTCGCGTCGGGCTCTGTGCCGGGCCCGGCCACTTTCCCGGAGTGTTTTCTCTGGAAACTGCTTTCGAGCGGGCGCTGCGCGCTGCACAAAGGGGAGTTTGTTCAGAAGCCGGCAGGTGATGGTGAAACCCGAGGCCGTGTGTGCCTTGGAGCCGACTCAGGCTGCCCGATTCCTTGGGCCGCTGCGGAAGAGAAATACTAAAACCCCAGCGGGAGAGGACGGGCCGCATTGAGGACGGGGCGCAGGGCCCGCGGGCCAGGTAACCCGACCCGGGAGCGGGACCTGCTTGGTCGCCGCACGTCCTCCTTTTGTTTAGCAGCCTGACTTGCTGTCCTGGAATGCGTTGGTGCCTGAAGTGAGGATGCTTTGAAAGAATTCCACGTTCCCTCTTGGAAAAATGAAGCGGTTTTGGCAACTGTATGGTGCACGCCCTTAAGAGCCCTGCGGTGGGAAAATGTGCGAGTTGCGGGGGAGGATGGAGGTTTACTTGGAAAATATGGTAGAGAAGCCCCCAAGAGACGCACGGCAGTACCACTGATGGCTGGATGAAGTACGTCTTGTGCGCAGTGTTTTCACTAGCGGTAAAATTTGAGTTGGGCCGTGGTGACTGTGATTCTCCCTGTCAGAGGACTGACTTTGGATGTCCTTTGGGTGCACGATAACCTAAAGAAATCTCAGCGTAGGGTCTTTTCACAATGCAGACCTTGATTGCAATAGTTTGAAAGTTTAGCTCATTACTAAGTTAAGGACGCCATCAACAAGGAAATGGATATGTCCATAAAGGTTGTAGTTTTGTGTTCAAAGGGGGAAATGTTACAGGTTTCCGTGCTAACACGTTGGCTGTCGTTTCATTTACGCGTGAGAGTAGTTTCTGAATGTAGAACCTGTGATAGCCATCTTGTATGCACTAAAGCCTTGTTAACAAGAAGTTGACAAAGAAGTTGTTGAACAGTTTGCAGCCTGCAGGATGCACTTAGCAGCTGGGGACACCCAGGAATGTCAGCGGTACTGGCTGGCAGATCATTGTCTGGGACGCTTCTGGCACTCAGAGGACTTGTAGCATCCCTGACCATGTACACATAGAAATACTTGTGCAGAACAATCCTACCGTGCCATGGTCCACTCCACCTAGGAAGCCGAGCGAATGCAGTGGGGAGAGAATTGACCGTTAGGGATATGACCTTAGACGTCGTAATCAGCTGCAGGCACTGAACATTCTCTTTTCTGTTTGCATGGTTTTGATTTGGTGATTTGGGCCAAGAAAGTGATGACCAACAGGAACTATAGCAGAACTTACTGCTACACAGTTATTCCCTCAGCGTGTACCTGATCGACCACTCTGCATTCTCCACCACCTATATAGAGGTGCATTATATGCTGGCATGCCATCTTTCAGTCTGCTGATCCTCAGAACTGTCTCTGACTCAGTTTCCCCCTCTCCTGCTCCTATAATACCGTCCCTTTTCTCAGCCATCACGTTTAGGCTTCATTAGGACAGTGGGTGAGTTGGCCCCTATTCTTTTCCCTGTTACCACCATGTTAATCTCTTAAAGACCAGAAATGCCTGGCATCTCCTATATGTGCACCTTTCGTCACTTCCCGTTGCCTGTGGTGCTAAGTCTCTGCTTGACAAGAATAATTCTTGAAGATCTGAGGTGCCTTTGCCATCTGTTGTTGCTTCTGTGGCTCTTTCCTGGTGAAACTGCCAGCTCTTCACTACCTCTGGATCTTCACGTACTGCACTGACACAGCTTTCTAGGAAGATCCAGTGAGGGCTGTTACGTATACATCATGGCCAGTCAGGAGGACAGTCCTTAGCTACTCCGGATGCAGCTACGGCCCAAGAAAAAATAAACAGATTCCCTAAATAACCAAAATAGCACAGCAAAATAATACAGCTGCTTCTGAGTAACCCTTTCCTGTACAGAACGCTGTCCTATTTCTCCAGGGACTCCTGTGCTCCTAGAACAACGGGTTAAGACCTCATCCACCGTGGAATCATTCTGTGTATTTCTGGAAAATTTTTTTGACAATTACTTGTCTAGTTTAAAGAACATTGGCAGCAACAATTTTTTTTAAAAAGGCTTAGAGGTAGCTGGTTGTTGGCAACAGGGAAAGGCTACTTCCTAAAAGCCAAACAGCAGGAGTGCAAACACAAAAGCAAGGGGGAAGCAAACCTGTGCTTTTTGGGTCAGGAGGTGCGAGGCCCTGGACTGCAGCGCCATGGCGTGAAGCAGCCCTGAACTCCCCTCGTGGTCCAGGTGAGGGACTGGGCCAGGTCACATGCTCTGGATTCCAACTCAGGCTTCCTGAGGCCAGAGGCCAGAGCTCTTTCCACTGTGCTCCGAATGAAAACAAGTGATGGGCCAAAGGCTAAATCACACATAATTGGCACGACACTGTTAAAACATGGAAATATATCATAAGATTTAGAAACACTTTTATCACAGGGTTTAACAACCCGGCATTTAGTGGAATAAATGTGACTTGCCCCTTTCATTGCCCAGAACCCACCCACAGTGGTTTTTAAATGTAATGATGAGTGCAGTGAATGAATTGAGGGAAGTAACTTCCCATGGAACCCCTCCTCATGTCCTTGTGTGGGATAAGTGAGGCCATGCTCGGATTTGGGGGACAGGTGCCCCTCACATCCAAGTGTAAAGGAGGTGTTCATGAGCTCCATCAGCAGAGACACTGAGGACCTGCCGGGCACCACGGAACCCCCTACCCCCTCACGTGCAAAGGACATACAGTGGGCGGCGAGACATGGCAGCCACTGCTGGGCAAAGTCGTTCCTCTCTCCCGAGCTCACAAAGATGGAACCCAGGGGTCACAGTGTGGTCTGCACTTGCTCTTCCCAGGTGGTCTCTATGTCACTAGTGTCTAGTCACAGTGCAGATGCACACTGCCAGCTGCATAACAGCTGCAGCAGGAACTGCTCCTTTATATGCATATGATTTTTTTTCTGATTTAAATGTTCCTGTATCCTTCACCTCAGGAAGGAAGGTAGCTGCTGCTTTTGAAGAACGGGGTCTCCAGACATTTGGTAACTTGTGAAGGCGCAAGGGCCACAGGGCTGAGTTCATGGCCACCCAGCGCCAGTTTGTTCTCTGCCCATCTCTTCTGCCCCGGTCAGACGTTCTTTTGACAATTATACAATGATGGAGAAGTCGCACGTTTAATTTTTTTAAAATAGTGAGACGTGTCTATTGAACTATTTTCAAGAATAGAGGGAAGAAAGAACAAGAGAGAAATGGAACAGTCCCTTTTCTGTGGCACTGCTTCTGTGGAATACCCTTGTGACAGTCCCGAGGGAAAAAGTGTCCCTGCTCTACCAACTGTAGGCTTATCTCGCACACCCATCTACACCCTTTCTTTTGTTATTGGTTTCTTGGTGCATTTAATCCTCAAAACAGCGTGTGCACTGCCCTCAGCCTGCCTGAATGAAATGCAGGCCGCCTTCCCTGTGCTGGACCCCAGTGCCATCCAGGTGTGTTGGCGGCCAGCGAAAGTTTTCTTCTTCTGTGCACTTCCCAGGTGGCCAGACTGTTGGGAACCTAACAAAGCCATTCCTGAACGTGGTTCTACTGTCTTTCCCCTGGACTGTGACTGGCTCATATCCACGGAAGTAAGGACACCCTGAGAGGCAGCACTCCTGTGGGCCTGTCTCCAGCCCCAGCGCAGGTGGCTCGCGCAGCCTTGTCATTCCCTTGCGATTAGGGTAACTGCCTGCATTATGGCACTTCAAGAGCAAGACAGTGAACCCCAGAACACAGACGGTCTTCATGATTTGGGCTTTACATTGTGTTTGCAGCTTTCACTTGATCTTAGCTGAAAGGCTGAGAAGTGATTGTTTGCAGCTTTCTAACATGCGTTGTTTGGGGGTAGGAGAGCTGGTACTAGGGGTCAGGCCTTGGGCTCGCAGGGTAAGCAGGAGCCAACACTAGGCCACACCCCCAGGCTTTGCACACAGTTTGTCTAAAAGAACATACTTAACTGTGGTTATAGGAGAGGAGAGCAACCCCACTCTAATGGGCTCCCCAAGGGCCTGGGGTGGGCAAGACGCGAGTGAGAATAACCGCGAGTCCAGGTCAAGAAGTGTGAGAGTTCCTTTTACTGTTGCAACTTTGCTGAAACATGCAATTAATCAAAATTTTAAAATCACAAAGAATAAGCAAAGTGCAGGGCCCAAGGCAGGTCCATGACTGACGAAGGGTCATTCTGCAGAAGAAAAATAGGATGAAAAACATTTCACCCAGCCCCTGGTTTGAATAATTCTGTTTCTAGTATAGCTCAGCCTGTTTCACAAACCTGATTTCTGCTGTTTACCATCATCTACCTGAAAAGCTGAGAGCTGAAAACGGAGCCAGCCGGCTTCTTCCGTTTGATTTCTCATGGCCGCCTGGCTTGGCCTGTGAGGTGGTACTGGACGGATGGACGGCCGTCTGCCCTGCAGCTGGGTTGTACTGTGGACTGGCTCCATCCACTGCCGCCCCCAGGAGGCAGCGTGGGGTCAGGGAGGCCTGGGGTCCCTGGAATCACGAACCACACTGTCCTGAGACCACTGCTCTCAGCATACTGGCCTTGGGCCTGGATCCCGAGGCAAGCTGCTTCAAGGCTCAGTTCCTTCCTAAGTGACACCACCTACACTGGGCTGCTGCACAGGATGTGCCATCCCCTAATAGCGCCAGGAGACACTTAACAGGAGTAAGTGACCTCTTAGAGTACTACCAAAACGGAATGTCGTGCTTGCCGTGAGAATGCCTCCTAAGGTTCTTCTTTGGTCAGCGAGTGGTCGTCTTCGGCGTAGCTGGTAGGAAGGACCGAGCAACATGCGTGGGGCTCAGCTGACTTACTTCAACCCCATGGCAGTTCACATTTTCCCCAAAATGCTAACTGAGGAGTACAGGGCCAAATTAAGATCTCTGACGATCTATCTTTGTGCTAGCTTGGAAAATCCATGGTTTGTCATAGTCTGTGGTGTTTTCTCTTCTTGCACCCTGTAGTTATGGTACATTCTTAGGTCCAACTTACTAGGTACATCCTTTGTAATTCTGAGTACATAGCCTAGTATCTTCCCACCACCAGATGAGGCAAAAGACGAACGTTCCGATTTCACGAATCAGGACAGAGTGCTTTGAAGACACCAGTTCTCCTGGGGGCTTGGAGTTACTAATTAAAGTCTTAGCCTCTGGCTCGCATGTGGGGGTTGGTTTTTCAAACCAAAAGGAAAACTGTTAGACACAAGACATTTTCTCCCTTTCACCAACACATCCTTTTTCATTGAGGAGCTAGAGCACGTGCCTGTGTTCAGAAAGCCTTTCCTAAGACATGAATGAATCGCACCTGTGTGCAACAGCTTGCTTAGAAGGTCACCACCTCTGTATGGTGTAGGAAATGAGGTGGCTCAGAGCACATGAAAGCTTAATTTCTGAGTGAGAACAATATCTGCCATCATTGCTCCTGCTGTCACTAAAGGCTGCAACCATGAGGGGCATGACCTGCTGGTGGTGAGCTGATAGGATGTCAATGATTTAAGGTTCCTTTGATTTATTATAAAAGAAAAACGGTACTTTTCGATAATCATTTTAATAGGTAATACAAATGACTTCATCTTGGGCTGAAACTTTCATTTTTATTGCCTTTCTCTTTTTTTTTTTTTTTTTCTTGGTTTTTCTGAGACAGGGTCTCACTGCATGCAGGCTGGCTTTGTGCTCACTTTGTAGCACAGGCGAGTTTTGAACTCACAACAGTCCTCCTGCCTCAACCTCCTGGGTGCTGGGATTACAGATGTGTGCCACCATGCCCGGCTTGCCTTTTTACTTAAGCAAATGAGAACATTTAATAAGTCAGGAGAATTGAGGGAAGTCTCCTTTCAGCTGTGTAACCCTGGGAAGCACTTAATTTTTCTGACCCATCTTTCCTTTAAAATGAATGAGTTGGACTCATAATTTTCTTTCTTTACATCGTAGGGAGGCAAATACAAGAGTGTTCACCTGATTCTAAAAGTTATTTTTTTCCCTTTAGTTTTTTGGGTGAGGGAGGAGTTTTGAGACTCGGAAGACAATCCAATTGACTGCAGAGGTGCTGGGTCTTAGGGTAGGGTGTGTGCTGCCCTGACACCTGTATTGTTCTTCATCTAAGGCAGGTTTTCATTCAGAGGAGGACCTACTTGACCTAGCAGGGGGTTGGCTCATGGCATTTTGCGCATGGTACTGCCTGTATTTTCACTAAATGCTGGCTTCCACTACAGTTAAACACCAACAGCCACCATGCTGGATTTTATTTGAACCTAATGCTGTACTCAGTTACTGTCTGTGGACAAGTGTTTGGCTGGCTTCAGCCCTTTGTGAAAACTTGCGGACTTCATGTGTTCTACAGGATTAACTGTGTTATTTCTCCTCAGCACATAACTAAGTTTAGCGTCATGATGGGAACCCTGAAACCAAAGCACTGTGGCCCAGGGGACCCATTCCCAGCAGGCGATGCCTCAGTAGCCAGCTTGTAGAGGAATGGCGGGAGCTGGGTGAGGGTCCTCAGCCGTCTTCTGTGGCAGCGATGGGGCCTGATCCCAGCATGTCCTCCTGCAGTGTGGGGAAAGTCACGCAGTGTTCACTTGTCAGCAGGTTAGGAATCCACAGAGCAGTTTCCCTGAGGACTTTTACCGTGGTGTAGAGTGGCACCTTCCAAAGGCAACTGAAGGGAATGGCTTGTGGCAGTTGCCGAAGAGCAGCTTCCTGCGGTGGGCACACAAGTGTCCAATAAAGCCAGGAAGGCGCGTGAGCTCTTCCCGTGGGTAAGCTCTTCTCTTGCATTGTCTCCAGCAGCCTCAACTGGATGTCCTGTGACTGAGACTCCCCCAGCGCTGCATTTGATTACTATGCCTTTGGAGATGGAGCCCAAAGTGAGCAAGCTGGCCTTCGGGTGTCAGAGAAGTTCCACCTCGGATGACGACTCCGGCTGCGCCCTGGAGGAGTACGCGTGGGTCCCCCCAGGCCTCAGACCTGAGCAGGTGGGACCTCATCATCCTGTTCTGTTTGCTAGGGTGATTTCAGACTGCAGACTGTTGTTCTAAAAATACACAAACCAGATACGTGTGGTAGCACACACCTGTAATCCCAGCACTTGGGAGGCTGAGGCAGGAGGACCACCATGAGTTTGAGGCCAGCCTGCACTATGAAGTGAGACCCTATCTCAAAAACAAAACCATAATATCATATTTAAAAGCCTACAGAGAACAGCACTGCAACACTGGCGTACTCCTGGCCCTCACACCTCTTGGTGGGTTGCACTTTCACTCTTAGGTCCTACTTGGTTCCTCAGTGGTGCCGTTTCTGCTCTCATGATAGATGACATCCAGCGTGCACATGCGCACTTGTTATGTGGAGGTCTATCACGCCACCCAGCAGAGGGGCAGTGAAAGTGACCGTCAAGCTTTAGTGACAGAAGGAAGGGCTTAGAACTTTGGTTTCCAGGCCCATTCTCAGGAATGCCTTTGCTGGGGGGAGATGCAGAGCTTAAGAATCCACTGGGTGGTGTTGCCTAGGAGCCCACCCTTGATAACTGACTCCAAGTCTGGCCCCCACAGGGGGACCAGGACCGGAAGACAAATCTTAAGGCAGATGAGAACAATCTATGGAAGGTTACTTTTACTTTCCTAATATGTTTATAAGAATGAACTTGTTCAAAAATTACAACAAAAAAAAAGAACTTGTTGAAGGTGACTGGCCGTAGCTCTCACTATAAACCCAAAGCATGTTTTGAAAGAGAAGCCTGGGTGTGCAGCTGTGTGCGCATTAGGCCTGCTGCCGGGGGGCGGACTCCTTTGAGGGCTAGGTGCTGTCCCTCAGTCTCAGTGTCTGCGCACACAGGCGGTACTCAGTAAGCGTTGGTGACTCCAGCTTACACATCCAGTGTAGGTGGAGGCGGGGCACAGTGGCATGATTCTGAGAATCTACTTGCTAGAAAGAGCCCCTTCTTGCACCTTAGGCTGGGCGGCTGCATGTGGCCCTGCTCCGGAAGCAGGCAGGCCAAACTCCATCAGCCATCCTTCTTCCTGGAATCATGTTCCCTCCTTCTCTGCACTGACCGTGTCATTAAAGGATGGTCCTTAAGGACATCAGAAAAGTGAAGCGCTCAGTGAACTAAGTGCAGTTCAGCATGGCGCCTCCAAAGTAGCACTCATTGCCAAGAAAGCCAGCGTGAGAGAGAACCAGACAGGGAGAGTCTGTAACATGGGGCATGTCACATAGCCTGTGTGCTGACGCCACAACCGCCTGGCCTCAAGCTGATCCTTGGCTGGCCCTTGGAAGACCCCTGAAAGGCTGGCTGAGGAAGCGTAGCATTAAACGTGCATCTTTTATGGCACATAATTTATAATGTCCCTGTCACCACAAATTGCATTCATTCCTGAAGAGCAGTTCAGCAGCCAGGGCTGGCTTTCTGCAGGCCTGCAGATCTGCTCTGTTGGCTCAGGAGCGTCTTGTGAGCTTCTGGAGGCCAAAATCTGTGCCAAGGGGTAGGTAAGGCCGAGAGCGCTGAGGCTCGGTTCTGGGTACTGATGTCCTTCCTGCTGTCCATTATGCAGATCCAGCTCTATTTTGCATGTTTGCCGGAGGAAAAGGTTCCTTATGTGAACAGCCCTGGAGAGAAACATCGGATTAAACAGCTCTTATACCAGTTGCCACCGCATGATAATGAGGTAAAGTACTAGGAAGAAGGCTAACTAGGAAGAAACTTGTGCCTGGGAGGCATGGAGACGCTTCTCCGGCACCCCGGCTCCTGGCTACCCAGCCTTTCTCTCTGCTAATGGGGCCTGAGCACACAGCTTTCTGTTCCTGAAAAGGAGAAAGAGTGTCGCTGTAATAAGCTGAACACAGTTGCCTGTTAGTGTTCACAGCCACCCAGTGATTGCCAGGGCCTCGCTCCTTCCCTGCACCCCCCGCCTGCTGCCCGCTGTGGAAGCTTAGCCCCAGGTAGGGTTGAGTGCATGCAGAAAGTGGGATGAAAGTGGCAGTTGCTTAAATCCTGTTGGGAAAGGTTAACATCTTGGGGGGGTTTTCAGCGTCTTTCTGCAGTATTTTAAAAAATAGAACGAGGCTGTTTCTTCAGATGACACTGTCCCTTTTCTACAGAGGTGGCAAGACCTAGCTACATGTCCTTGTTCAAACTGGGGGCCCGGGAGGTGGAGCCCCTTCTTGCACCTTAGGCTGGGCGGCTGCATGTGGCCCTGCTCCTGAAGCAGGCAGGCCAAACTCCGTGCGTGGCTAAATTTGTCCTTCCATCCCGACTCTTGGAAAATAAAGGCTGGGTGGGAAGACAGCGCTCCAGCGTGGGCTTTCTCTCCCTTTGGGCACAGGTGCGGTACTGCCAGTCCTTGAGTGAAGAGGAAAAGAAAGAACTGCAGGTGTTCAGCGCTCAGCGAAAGAAGGAAGCACTTGGAAGGGGGACAATCAAACTTCTGTCCAGGGCGGTGATGCACGCTGTGTGTGAGCAGGTAGCCATCCCAGTGTGAGCGACGTGGGTGGAGCTAACGCAGGCAGGTGGGCGGGCAGGCGTGCATGCGTGCGAGCGTGCAACCTCCAAGGCACAGCCGCAGCCTCACCTGTTATGTTAGTTTCATATTCGCGAATATGCCCTGCATGAATGTCAGGTGAAAGCAGGCAAGGCCAGGGTACGCAGAAGCGTCACGAAGACGTGCAGTCCTTGCTGCTAGCTCTGCGTGGGGGAATGTGTCCTGCAGGATCTCGCGCGGGAAAGCTGGGCTCGTGTGGGTTGGAGGGGGCCGGGCGCAGAAGCATGCGGCGCAGTCGCCCGCCAGAGCATGCTCACTACAGATGTGAATCTCAGTAATCCAGTATTAAAAAGCCATCTAGTCACTAATGGGAGAAGGCAGACATACAAGCTTTCTTGCTGAAGTTGGGAGTACACTAGAGTGGGCAAGGCGATTTAACCCATCAAATCTGTTCACAGTGCGGCCTGAAGATAAACGGAGGGGAGGTGGCAGTGTTCGCCTCCCGGGCTGGCCCCGGTGTGTGCTGGCACCCGTCCTGCTTTGTGTGCTTCACGTGCAGCGAGTTGCTGGTCGACCTCATCTATTTTTATCAGGATGGAAAAATTCACTGTGGCAGGCACCACGCAGAACTGCTCAAGCCCCGGTGCTCTGCATGTGATGAGGTAAAAAGGTTCAGCCCTTAATGTTGGAAAAAACGAAGCGATAGCCAGATTTCCACTCTTCACAGCCAAGCAAATATGCGTGTCTCCAGGTTTTTACTGTGTGTGTATATTTTAAGATAACCTTGTCCTTTGATGCAATGGAATAACCTGTAACTAGTGACAGAGGCCAGCTGCGGCTGTGCTTTCCCTAGTCTGGGGTGGCCCTCGGTGAGATAAGGCTCACGCAGCAGATGATCTTGTTTTGTTCAGTACAGAGAAGGGGTGCAGATGCACGGCCAGCAAACCGCGGCCACCTCCCAGGGCAGGTGAGCAAGGATGAGGCAAACGACGTTTCTTTAAGTGTCTTATTTTACAGTAACTTTAAACTTACAGAAATGTTGAAAAGATACAGAATTCTAGTACCCTTCTCTCACTTTTCCTGGATGTTGCCTCTTGGTGTATGTATCAAATCTACGTCAGCAACACTGGTGAAGCCCAATGTCCCCATTTCTGTGTTAATGTCCCCTTTCTCTTCCAAGACCTACTGCAGGATCCTCTGTGGTGGCCTCAGCCTTCTTCAGTCAGTAACAGTAAATTCTTTTTTTTTTTTTTTTTCCCTTCGGTGAGACAGTAACTCAGCATGTATCCCAGTCAGACTTAAGATATTAGCATGTTATCATGCCTGGCTAAATTTCACATGCTAACTTTCATAGGTTTGGTTTTGTCAGTGGCATGCTTTTTGAATACTTCCTTGAAATAAACAGAAAGTCCATCCTTTAGGGCGGCCACCAGGCCAAATGATACATTATCTGCCCATCCCAGTGCTGTTCACAGACACACACCATCTAACTGCAAAAGCGCTGCAGGCTCTTGTTTTGTTCTTGTTAGAACACTCAGACCACTGAACTATTTCAGTGTTAGTGTGTTCTTTGTGAATTATGCCACCAAAGTGTTACCGGAGCGCAAAAACAGAACCAAATGTTTTACCTCCAGGTAGACATGGCTTTTCCCAACTCTCCATTCCTCTCACCTCAAGTGCTGAGGATTGAACCTAGTCCTTTGCAATGAGTTACATCCTAATATATTTTAAGGCAGGGACTAAGTTAAGTTGCCTAGGTTGGCTTCACACTTGGTGTCCTCCTGCCTCAGCTTCCCAGAACACTAGGATTACAGGTGTGTCGCCACACCTGGCTTTTTAAGTTAAACAAGCACTTAAATATTTCATTTTTTGCACCCTTCTCTGTTCCTGCTCTTGTTTTGTAGCTAAGCCAAGTTAGAGTGAAGCCTGCAGCTCTTACAAACAAGGTTAGCGGTCTGATGAAGAGCCGCTGCCCTTCAGCTACTCAGAAAAGAGTTACTGGGATAGAGTTCGCATTTGTTCTCCTTGCATGCTACGCCTCCACGTTTCTCCTTACAGATCATTTTCGCTGACGAGTGCACCGAAGCAGAGGGTCGCCACTGGCACATGAAGCACTTCTGCTGCCTTGAGTGCGAGACAGCCCTGGGGGGACAGAGGTACATCATGAAGGACGGGCGCCCCTTCTGCTGCGGCTGTTTCGAGTCTCTCTATGCCGAGTACTGTGAAACCTGCGGGGAGCATATTGGTGAGTTCAGACTGCCCAGTTATCCATCTTTAAAAAAACCTGAGGTATAATTTACCTGACATATACGGATCTTAAACGTTTTGGCTGAGTTTTGATGAAAGGATGTGTAGTCCCTTCTCATTATCCGCACTAGCCAGCACTGCACCTGTTAATACTGAAAGGTCACTCCCTGGAGAGATGCACAGCAAAGTTTCCCCATGAGACACGCACACATACACACGCACGCACGCACGCACACACTCACGGTGCCTCCATACGTCTCGCAGGTGCCAGGCTATCTACCGCTCAGCTGCGGCCCCCCACTGCGTTTTCATCAAGCCATGCGTGTTGCAGTTGAGTACTAGCACTCAGCTCATGGCTGACGCACAGTTGGGCAGGATCAGAAGTTTATGACACATCACAGCCTTGCACCTCATCATTATTCATGGGGGCCACCTCCAACAGTAGAATTACCAGCAAAAAGCACAAAATTTGTGGCACTAAACAGGCCGTGAACAGGACACTGGCTCATGGTAAGGGAGCTGAAATCAAAACAGAACATCCGCTTTTTCTGAACGCAGCTAGCATAGCAACACGTGTGTCACTGGCTTTAATTTGTGCCCCTCAGCAGGCCAGGGCACAACCAGGCGTGGGTTAGGCTCGCTGACTTTGGGGATGCAGGTGGCTTTGGTGCGTCCAGGCATACTCACAGAGACTCTGTAATGACAAGGAGGTAGTGGACCCATGTAACCACACTCCTATCAAGATCAGGATCGTCTCCATCACTGGAAGGCTCGCTCTTGTCCAGGTTTTCTCCATTTCATCCCTTAATCGATGCCCTTTTCCTTTCCTTCTACCTACAGGCGTAGACCACGCACAGATGACCTACGATGGGCAGCACTGGCATGCCACGGAGGCCTGCTTCTCCTGTGCCCAGTGCAAGGCCTCTTTGCTGGGGTGTCCGTTCCTTCCCAAACAAGGGCAGATCTATTGCTCCAAAACCTGCAGCCTCGGGGAAGACATCCACGCCTCTGACTCCTCTGACTCCGCCTTCCAGTCAGCGAGGTCCCGAGACTCCAGAAAAAGCGTCCGCATGGGCAAGAGCAGCCGGTCGGCTGACCAGTGCAGGCAGTCTCTCCTCCTGTCCCCCGCTCTGAACTACAAGTTCCCCGGCCTCTCAGGCAGTGCTGATGACACCCTCTCCCGGAAGCTGGACGATCTCACTCTCTCCAGACAAGGAGCCGGTTTTGCCAATGAGGAATTTTGGAAAGGCAGGGTGGAGCATGAAACCCCAGAAGAACCCGAAGAATGGGCCGAGCATGAAGATTACATGACACAGCTCCTCCTCAAATTCGGCGATAAAAGCCTCTTTCAGCCACAGCCCAGTGAGATGGACATCAGGGCGAGCGAGCATTGGATATCTGATAACATGGTTAAAAACACCCCGGAGTTAAAGCAAAATCACCAGAGCCTTGCGAGTAAAAAATACCAATCTGATATGTACTGGGCTCAGTCACAAGATGGGCTGGGCGACTCGGCTTACGGCAGCCACCCAGGGCCCGCAAGCAGTAGGAGGTTGCAGGAGCTGGACCTGGACCATGGTGCTGCGGGATACAATCACGACCAGACACAGTGGTATGAAGACTCCCTGGAGTGCTTGTCAGACCTGAAGCCGGAGCAAAGTGTTCGAGATTCCATGGATTCTCTGGCTTTGTCTAATATCACAGGTAAGTCATGGGGGGGGGGGTGATTCAGGGTATTAGAAAAGGGAGCCAAAATGTATTCAAAAACTTGTAATTCAGTAAGAGTTACTTAATACTGCAGGCCGAGGGAAGGAAAGCAGTTTCCACCAAATGCTCCAGCAGAGCAAGCCTGTATGCGTGTGCAGGCGAGTGTGCACACGGAAAGTATCTTCAGCACAGCCTTTTTAGGTGAGGATGACACTGAGTTTAAAGCAGAGAGAACAGATATTTGGATAAGGGAGTCCACTCTGGATTGTATCTGAGAATGTCTGTATTCTTCCGATTGTGCTATATATTTTATTTATTTTGTGGCGGCACTGGGGATTGAACTCAGGCCCTTGCGCAAGCACTTATTCTACTGAGCCATCTCCCTGGCCCCTGCTATGTACATTTGTTAAGGTATTAAAGTTGGCCTGAATACTTAAAAAGTTCGTAACTTTTAAAACTATTCTCCTGGATTGCCTTATGGCAAGATAGCCCAAAACGATCTGAACCTTTTGAATATAAAATACTTTATGTTCTCAAAGCACATTAATATCAGTTACCCACATTATAGTCTTATTGTATTATGGATATTATATATGTACATATACAGTCATTAACCCTGAGTGTGTGGAATAGCCTGTAACAGGCCTGTTAGGAACCTCATCCTGTAGTGGCTAATTCATAGACACGGAGGCATTCCCCTCCTGTGGCTAGTTTATAACCACACCAGTGACACCCAGTCCTGTCTGAAAGACACCGTTCCTGTGATGGACGCAGCTAGGAAAGGCTCTTGCGGCGCCCACTGCCGAGAATGCCGTGTGGGGCCGCGCAGTGACAAGGAGGGAGCCAACGAGCACCCTTGGCTTCTTGTGGTGCTGAGGATAAACCCAGGGACGCAGGCGTGCCAGGCAAGTGCTCGACCACTGGGCTACACGGCCCTCCGGCCCTGCTTCCCTAGAAGGCTTTAACGAAATGCTGAAATTCAAAGTTTTCTTTGAAATATCTCCACTTGGTAGCTGGTACTTAATAACATCAGATTAGGATTTTTGAGAATCACACTTTGTCTTTGGCTTCTGTTCTAGGGGCGTCCGTAGATGGAGAAAGCAAGCCAAGACCGTCCTTGTATTCCCTACAGAACTTTGAGGAGATGGAGGCGGAAGACTGCGAGAAAATGAGCAACATGGGGACTCTGAACTCCTCCATGCTGCACCGGAGCGCGGAGTCCCTGAAAAGCCTGAGCTCAGAGCTATGTCCGGAGAAGATCCTGCCCGAGGAGAAACCGGTGCATCTGCCGGTGCTCAGAAGATCCAAGTCCCAGTCCCGGCCCCAGCAGGTCAAGTTCTCGGACGATGTCATCGACCACGGCAGCTACGACGACATCGAGGTCCGGCAGCCCCCGATGAGCGAGCGGACGCGCCGCCGGGTCTACCACTTCGAAGAGCGGGGCTCGCGGCCTCACCACCACCGCCGGCGGCGGCGGAGCAGGAAGTCGCGCTCCGACAACGCCCTCAACCTGGTGGCGGAGCGCAAGTACTCGCCCAAGGACAGGCTGCGGCTGTACACGCCCGACAACTACGAGAAGTTCCTCCAGAGCAGGAGCGCCCGCGAGCTGCAGGCCTATGCCCAGCGCGGCGGCGGCGGCGGCGACCTCTACGGCCGCTACGCGCACGCCACCTCCGACTACGCCCTGCAGAGCCCGGGGGTGAGCCGCTTCCTGGGCCTCTACGGCGAGGGCGACGGCTCCTGGTGCTCCTCGTCCTCCTCCTCCACCTCGTCCTCCTCCGACTCCGAGGAGGAGGGCTATTTTCTCGGCCAGCCCATCCCTCAGCCCAGGCCGCAGAGATTTGCCTACTACGCCGACGACCTTTCTAGCCCCGCTTCCGCGCTCCCCACCCCTCAGTTTGGTCAGAGGACAACTAAATCCAAGAAGAAAAAAGGACACAAAGGCAAAAACTGTATTATTTCCTAAGCGAGTAGTGATGGAGAGCATTTGTTTCAGCTTAGCCATTAACCATCAGAGTATTTTTTTCTTCCCTAGGAAAGTTGCTAAGATAGTTTAAAGTGCTTTCTTTGTCCGTGTAAATGAGAACCCTACTGCTGTTTACAGTGTCAGATTCACATTCGAAAAGGTGTCGTTTCTCCCGTTTACTTACGAAGCCTCCCTGGGGGGCGCCGGGTTAGGGTGACACCTTGTGCCTGTGGCAGGCGCGCTACAGTTTCATCCATTGCCCCAGTCTCCAAAGAAACGGACCCGAGGTGATCAGACAGGGGTGTCACTCTGGAAGGCGAGGAGTGCCGGCCACCTTCGTTGCGCAGTAGTGTCTGTCAGTCACTGCATAACTTGGGTTGGCCTCGGTCCTGATCTGGGCCTCTTGCGAGGCATGCACGTGGCCCCGGTGACCTAGCTGACACTGTGCGTCGTTGCGTGAGGCCAACTTGTCCCCCATTAGCCCGGTAAACATTGTATTAACTCCAGCTACAGATAGGAAAAAAAATGCTATTTATAATGTAGTATTTCATAGAGGTAAGTGTATTCCTAATTTAACGGTGCAAATATTAATGTATATACTGTACAGTTCAGATTTTAAAGCTGATATTTTTATATCCCTGAATTGCAAGATGTTTGTTACACTGCAGTGCTAGACATGCTAGGGAACCAGAGACAGCATTTATGGATGAAATGATTGCTTGTGATGTAGTCAGGGCTTATAAGTTTAGACAGTCAAATTTATATTGCCTAGTGATGGAAAGTTAAAATTTAAAAAAAATTTCAATATTAAGGCTCTGTATGCATGGTGGGGCTATGTAAATACTCTCAAACTATGGCCCTATGAATTTTACAAGTGTTATTTATGGGTCAAGCAATGTTAACTGTATAAATGTAAAAACCAACAACAACAAACAACACCCCACATACCCCTGGAATATATGGTAAAAACATACAGCAGATGTCTGGGTGGACGTGTTTTCTCTCAGCTCTAAAAATACAAAGATCAGCTTGTTGTAGAAGGAGTCTGTACATCTGAAGTGGGGTTACTCCCTTTCGGCTCATGTTAGCCTTTACAAGCAATTTTCAAAACTAGGTTTTCTGGTTTTTTCTTTTCCAATCTTGAAATTAGCGGATGCGGTGCCACTGAGTATTTCACGTTCCCGAAGGTCTAGTTCAAGGGAAAATCGTGTTGAACTAATGAGCAGATACTCTGATATGTGCCCTTCTTGCTTATGTCCAAATCCTAAGTAAAGATCCTGGTGGCATCCAGGGCCTTTTAGGAAGGTATTTAATAAACGCTTAATAAATAACAAATGACCTTTCTGAATACAAATCTTTCTAAACACACGTAGCTAACGTTCAGTTTGCTCTGCGTTCAGGCATGACTATTACCTGTCTTCCAGAGCCTGAGACCCGTGCGCCTGCACGCCTCCAATGGGTGGGAACAGGCGGGAGGCCCCAGCGTGCTGTACCTATCAGAGGAGGAGGACAGCCACAGATCCAGTAGGAACTAGTGGAGAGTAGGGAGGTTAAGGCTTCCTATCTGAGCTGGCAAGATGTTCTGCAGAGAGCAGCAGCAATGGCGCCTAAAGCCACTGTCACCTGGCCCTTCCGGGTCTGGTGCACTTTCTAAGCAGGTAACCATGAACGTGAAGTGCAAGCGCATGGTAAAAAGTGCAGAAAGGGCAGGCACCGAAGCTTCTCCCTTTCCTCCTCAGCCCGAGGAGTTCTAGGTGCTCAGAGCATCTGCTCTGTTTAACCGAGTAGCTACTCAGAGCATTTGTTTAAACTCATTAACTATCAGCATCTCTTTCTGTCCCATAAGATGATGCTCGACACACCTGCTGGCAGTACAGCTCAGTGGGAATGTGTGCTTAGTACGCGCACAGGCCTACATTCAGGCCCAGGCACCAAAAGCTGCAGTGAGCTATACATATTGGGACATGCTTTCTTTATATGTAAACATTCTACATAGTCCCTGCAAGTCTACCGCTTTCTCTCAGTGACTATTTACTACTCCACTTTTTTTAAATGTATTTGGTACAGGATTTCACAACACAGCGCGTGGCGACCCACCTGTTTTCAGCCTCCCCAGCGCTGGGATTGCAGGTGTGTGTGCACCACCTCACCCAGGCTCGATGGCAGGGCAAGTGCAGTGCAGGGTGTGGTGCTGGGGATCGAATCCCGGTCCCCGCGCTTGCCTCAGCAGGCACTCAGTCCACCGAGCTATCTCGCTGGCCCTAGTGTTCCACTTTTGGATCTGCGTCGTTAGGTAATCAGGCCTCTGGTGATAGATTTGAATTTCCTCATTTGGAACCTATCTTACAAAGGCCCATGTACACGTACGTTGGGAGCCAAGTAATTCCTGGGACAAAGAGTACACAGGTATTTAAAATTCTGATGTTCATTTCCTACCAAAGAAAATTCCAATTTACATTACTACATACCATATGAGAGGGCTTTCCTACCACAACTTACATGTGATCAGATTTCTTGGTTTTAAAGAAATTTTTGGAACCTTTTAGAAGACCGTGATAGTGCTGTTCACAGCGGGTGACACCGAGCCTGGAGAAAGGCCGGCGAAAGCCCTGCCCTCCGCGCTTCCCAGGCAATGCGCTTTTCATACATCTGGCAACAGTTATTCCAGCATTTGCTTCATTTCCTCATGGAAGGGTAGGTGGCTTCACAAAAGAACTACCATGACAATGTCACCTTCGTGCTCTTAAGTCCTAGCTCAGCGCAACAACGGGGAAGACTACAAAGAAAAAAAGGAAACGACAATAAAGAAGAAGCATGAAGGTGCTGAAGGGTGTGAACAGATCCAGTTAATAAGTACGAAGTCTCTCAGTCAGCCAGTAAATGCCACACTTTCTGTCCACAATAATTAGCAAATGTCCCAACACTGCCTGCATCATCAGGGAGCTAACCCGGGCTCCAGGGTTCCATTTTCCTCACCACAGAGCAGCCCCTGCAGAGCACTGCCTGAGGCTTCGGAAGGTGCTGGACCTTTCAGCTCTCAAGAAACAAAGGTTAACTTTATTTATGCATTTGTACTCCACTCTAGCTTCTGAGTTCAATCAAAAGTACCAGAAGTGGGGCTGGGGAGATAGCTCATTGGTATAGGCGCCTGCCTAGAAACACAAGGACCTGGGTTTGATCCCTGGGTGCTGGCCCTGAAACCAGCCATGGTGGCGCATGCCTGTAATCCCAGCACTGGGGAGGCTGAGACAGGAGGGTAACTACGAGTCCAAGCAGCAGAGCGAGACCCTGTATCAAATTAAATAATTTTTTAAAGAAGTACCAGAAGTAAAAGAAAATATTTGCTGTCCAACCTTACGGCTCTGAACACAAATCCTGGGGCTAAAATGAGTGGAACTGGACCCAAGGCAGCAAGATCTGCACGTGGACCGACAACTGCCTCGGGAGCAGCAGTGTTCTCTGTACAGTCTGCTTCCTCGAGGGAAGCCAAAACCTGAGCTTCCTGGAAATCTGCCAGCTTTCAAATGCTACATTTAATTGAAATGTCTGTGAAACACTGCTGAACAAAATAAGCCTACTACCAGCCAGTCTCTGACCAAACTCTAGGTTATTCATTCAGGAATCAGCAGACTGCTCTAGCCTTAGAGCTGTCTAGGGAGGCACAACTAATTGCTATTTATAAAAATACCTTGGTGGATGCAGAGGGAAGGAAATTTACTGGGATCTAAAATGAAAAATGTCATTAATCGCCTCATTATAAACCCACTGCTAGTGACAATTAGGATAAAAATGCTTTCTAATGAGAAAAATTACTAGTGAAATTAGCCATTCACTAAGACCATCAGAAGGCATGGGGTTTTCTGTAAACTCACACACACACACACACACACACACACACACACACACACACACACAAAAGGTTTCCCGGCAAATGATCCCTCAAGGAGAAACAAGCAGAGTAACTGAACTTTCCACCACTAAGTTTGTATCTTGCCAAAGTCATAGAATTACAAACTTTACACGAGAAATAAAATTAAAAGGTGGGTCTCCAAACAGTTATGGGAGGAGACATGGAAAAACAAAACCAACACTATCTACATACACACAGTCAGACTTGGTCATAGGCATACAGCCAGTTTATACTAACCAGTTAGATATTTCCATTTTAGGCTCAGGTTTAGCCACAACCTTTTCCAAAGTGAAATCTGGCGTCCGTGTTGCTTTACAAGGTACAGTATGCCAACTTCAGAAGTAATTTACAACCCACTCACTGGAATCGGCAGATTCCAAACAATGCAGACAGTACCACTGAGAGTATAAAAGTGGTTGTCTTCATGCTGCTAAGTTTAGTACCTGGAAATACTGCAACATTCACGCAGCTGACACTGCAAAGTGATTACAGGACTACTGTGATGGCACTCACCACAAAGCTGGCTGCAGGACTCTCCACAGGTGGGCGAGAAGAGTCGCCTCACTCATTAGCTCAAGCAAGTATAACTCTGATGGGTTCGAGCGCTTCTCCTGTGGTGTCGACCTCACTGGCTTCCTTCTGGCTGTAGCTTCCTGTGGAGACTTAACTGCACCCATTGCATCAGACCCCAGAAGTCTTCTTGCTCAGCGTAAAAACACTTTCCTCTCTGACTCCACTTACCCACCTACCTGCTTGGCCTGGGTTCCTGAAACGTTGTACCCCACTCCTGGCTTTTCCCTTAGCTCCAAGACAGGGTTTACACAAGCGGTAAACTTTAAAGTGTGTTAAAAAAAAATTAATACTTGAAAATCTGAACAGAAAAAAGTTTACGTAATGAAGTACAGGTGTCCTGTTCATGCTTGGAGCTGGCCTTTGTGTCACTAACCGGTACTTGGAAACTGCACAGAGTAGGTGGCAGGCTAAGTATTTTCTCCCATGTTTCTTCCCATTTACCAAAAGGACAAAGATGTTTTTCCCTCCATAGCAGAGGCGGCCTGTTCTCCACAGGCACCGTTGTCTTGACTCTCTGAATATGGTGTAAGCAAAGCTGAAAAGGTATTAATTGTGTTGAATAGTGGCTCCTAAAACAGAAGAGTTTAATAACCTGGTTCATTCTACTGAAATGGGTCTCCTCAGAATCCATCCTATGTCCTGGAGCAGCAGCCAGAGTGACAGAGACAGGTCCCAGCCACACCCTGGCTGCAGGAGCTCTCAGGACACCATTCACCTCTGTGGGGACTGCCTACCCCTTGTGAACAGCAAGGGTGTTTACAAGAGGTGCCCCCCAGCAGAGTCACAGGAACCAATATGGAGGTTAACAGTGAGGCTAAAGGGAAAAGCAAAAATTGACCGAACAACATACTGAACTCTTTCAAGTGTATTTTGTAGTTATACACAATTCATTAGCATTCCACACAAATGGCTAGAGTCAAGATTTGAACCTTGTGCCAAATTACCATCAACCTTTTTTTTTTTTTTTTTTTTTTTTAGTACAGGGTCTCACTATACAGATCAGACTTACAGTGATTCTCTTGTTTATAGCCTCCCAAGCGCTGGGATTACAGGCCAGATAAGTGATGATCTAGCATCACAACATGAACCATCTATGGTAAGAACTCAAAAGGCTACACAGCTATAGACAAGAACCTGCTCGGGCCGGGAACAGGCTTCCTAAGGTGCATCAGGCTTCCCACCCTCCCTTCAAGAGGCTGTGGATCCGGGAACTGGCCCAGGAATGGAAGCTGCAGGTTTTGAGAAATCAACATTTTTTGGCGAGTATACTAAATAGGTAATGTTTTCAGATTTCACTCTTAAAGAGAAAGGGTAAAGCTACATACAGACATCCTTCACATTTTACATGTATCCTACTTCTTTCCCTCTTTTCTGAAGGGGAGAAAATAAAATTGGCACCTCTTTTAGTTTGGTTTGGGGAAGGTAACTGCAGAAGATTAACGAGAGAACATGCAAGTTTATTAATGTACTGCAAACCACACGGGAGAAAACCAACACAAAGCAGTGGCTTAGCAGCCTGCCATAAATAGTATTTTACCAAACAACAAATTTCAGATACGTGACCAGACAATAGAGCAGCAATCCTGGGGTTCAGAATGGAGCAAACTGCAAACATGCATTTATGAGAGTGAAGTCTGCTCCAAGAGGCTGTTTCCTAAGCTGCTGAGAACACTGTTCAAGGTTTAAGCCAGGAAAAGTTTTAGATGCCCCCCCCCCCCCCCCGGAACCGGACATTGAACTCAGGCCTCTACTGAGCTATCTCCCAGGCCCCAAAACAGGAAAAGTTGGGAGCAGAAGAGATTTGTACATCTGCCTTGCTTTTAAGCAAACTTAGAAAAGGCTGTTTCCTTGCATTTTAATTGCTGTCAGCTCACGGAACCATATTCTGGAAATGTTTTGGTTCCCTTAACTGCCCCCATTCCCCCACCGTCTTGCAAGCCCACCTCAGGCACACAGACTTACCTCTCTCTATGTAATTCCACCCTTCGGGCTCCTGGGTATCTCCTATACCTGAAAAAATCTTATCCTTCCAAGGCTTGAGGGTCAAGTGTCACATCCTCTGGGAAGCCACCTTCAAGCTGACAAATCAAGAGTTCCTACAAGGCTCCAAACTGCTCAGAACTGGAGGTACTAAGACTACATGCTGCCTGCCCTCCAGGAAGAACCCCACAGACACACAGCTTCACAACTACACAACTATCGCAGAACACAGGCAGGCACCACCTTTCACTAGTATGACTGCTCCTCAGGACTCCTTAAATCGTCAAAATTCTTTACATCACCAAAGTTACTAGTTTCAAAGTTTCTATCTGGTACTAAGTGACATAAATAATAATTCTGTAGTCGAGAATAATAAACTTTACATTTGCATTCTAGCAAAACACATAAGCCAGATACAACAAGAGACAATCTATTTAAATGTGGTTGCTTTATTTTGTACCTTCACAATTCATAAGCTTTACAATATATGCTTCCCCCTGTTGATCATCAAGGCTTTATGGAAAGATAATGACAGTTTTATCACAACTAGGTATATGCAAAAGCAATGGATATAATCTACAATCTCTTCAACCAAGAAGAACATTTTGCAAAATACATACTGCTACTCCTGTGAATTACCTACCATCAGGCTTTAAAATACGTTTTTTTAAAAAAAACAAAAAAAAAAACCTGACATGCCTAGCACGACAATGCTGAAAGCAATCCTATGAACAACTTCACATGCTGAACGTAACTTAAGGGAAAATAAGAAACAACTACCAGTTGAACCTACGTATAAATATGTGTTAGCAAGACTTTCCTTTGCCTCTGGTAGCTTCTCAGTTTTTATATTTTTAAACTTGTGGCAGCTTGACCAAAGAAACAGAATCCTGGGACTAGAATACGTGTACACATATATACCTTCTCTGTCTTCACACTAAGGAAGACTATCAGAAATAATAATGGGTTTTCATTTGGCTTGTGTTTTATAAAAGATAAGTACTAAAAATGCAAGATGGTCTCACTTACAAAACTTTTGAAAATTTAAACTTTGCCCTAAATTCGTTTCTAAATTTGTGAAGCAGCATAACGCATATTTTGAGGGATACGATCCATTAAAATACACCGCTATTCCCACCTTTACTATAACCTTCCTGTGCTCTGGGACAGCTCTGTAGACAGTGTCGTGAGGTCACTGATAGTAATGGTGAAAGAGTGGAAACGGACAGGAAGAGGAGAAACTGGGTATCAAAATGACAAACAAGATTTTTAATGTCTCCTGTTAACTGATGCCATAAAATGATACATTTTGGCTCAGTGCCCAGGAAACAAAGGAAGCACCCATGGTCCAGCCAGGAGTCCCAAGTGACTGTGACGTGCCAGCGCGGAGAAGCACTACTGCCCCACGCCGCTTGGTGAGGCATGGCAGGCTGGGCCAGGTTTGCAGGAACACTTAGGAAAGACTACATGCCTCCCAAGGTCACCGAACACAGCAGTCACGAGGTCACAAAGTACCCTTCCAATATCTGTAAATGATTTCCTGCAATGTGTTCATCCTTCTGAGACAGCATGGGCTTACAAGAACAAAACCCCAGCACTCTTACATATTTAAAGGTTTTCCCCACTTGATCACAGGGGTTTTCTAATATTCCTCACCCTCTGTCTCAAACACATTACCCCTTCAAAAGACATCAGGGTAGTTAAGAGCTTTAGGAGCTAAAGCTAAGTGATCTCCATATGTGTCTTCTCCTAAAAATGGAGAAGAGACATACGGAGATCATTTTCTAAGAAAAGGTTTTATTCTGATGTCTTTCAGATTTTAAGTGCTATGTTATTACTAAGAATTATTCTCAAAGCAAATATCTCCTAAGATACCAAAGTATTCACTTTATTATGATAGTGTACTTCAGCATATTAAAACTTAGGAGGCCTAAGACAAACAGGCAACAAGTTAATAAAAGTCAAAACTCCAAATTCCAACCTGTCACCTGGTACCACCCACTCTGAAAAGTGCAAACACAACTACTGTTCAGGTGGAATGAGCTCCAACCCGAGTGTTACACTCACGTGACCAAGCACATCGCAGGTTAGGCAGCCTGGGCGAGTGAGACAGCCCTGCAACGCTTACACCACAGCCAAGGAGATGGCTCAGGGGCGCAAGCACCTGCCTGGCACGTGCAAGATCCTGAGTTTGATCCCATTACGGGTGGGGCTTAAACAGTAACTGAACATCATTTTGGGGGTGGAAGGTGAATATGGATTAGTAGGTCCTATGTGTAGAGAAAATTCTAATTAAAATATTTTAAACAGACTATGTTAGATGTTTGATACTGAAAACTCATCACTCTTCATGACAAAAATTTCACACATTAAGGATTTACACAATTCAGGGGGGAAAAAATCTAGAAACATTTATTTTTGCCTAACCATTATACTATGTCTTCTAAAAAGGCTCTCCAAAGTCTTGAGAAGTATCATACTCTGCAATGAAATGCTTCAGTTCTTCAACACACCGCTCGCCTATTTCATGTAAATTCTGCCTCAGGGCAAACTGGATAGACTTTTCTAGGGAAGGGTCTTTCTCAATCAGCATCTTCACCACCATCCCGAAAGTTTCACAGTCTTGTCGGTAGATCTAAAATGGTGATGAAACACATTCTGGTTAACTGATGGGGAAAATAATTAGCAAAATACTCAGCTAACTGAACTAACAATTAAAATGCTTAACTCTAAAAAGAAGACACAGTAAGACAGCTGAACTTCCGTAACAGTGCCTTGGTCGCTGGTGTCAGAGGTGGTTAACCTCTCCCACAGGAGCCCTGCCAACCCAAGAGCACAACACACCAACCCGCCCATCACTGACTCGGGGGCACAGTGTGGCATACAGCGGTCTATTTAGAGGACATGGAACTAGAGAAGTGGAAAGGGTATCGGCTAGGCAGGGCACATGAGCGGCTTTGTTCATTTATTTGTCTGGAAGAAAAAAGTTTCTAAAGCTCTAACTTTAGATTCTCTAAGTGAATCACAACCAGCTGACAAATCTGCAATTGTCTGACACACAATAGATAATTCTAAGAATGCCGAGGTAGCGGAAGGTGTAGCTCAGTGCAGAGCACTCGTCTGGACTCAGACCCTGGGTTCATTCTCCACTACTGCTGGAACAAGCAGCAAAGAGAATACAAAGTGTCTATGTGGAAAAAAAGCCTTTCAATGGGGCAGGTGACACAGCTCAGCAGACTAAAGCGCCTGTTTAAGCAACCACAGGAACCACATGCTGTGGGGGAGGAAGGGCTCAGGGCCCGCTAAGGCGGCCAGAGGCCAGAGGTACTGGGGCAGGCCTGTAATCCCTGTGCTGGGAAGGCTGAAAGCAAAAGAATCACCATGAGTCTGAGCTGCAAAGTGAGAGCCTGCAAGAACCAAATACATTTTTTTAAAAACAAGTCTTTCAGGTTAGAAATATTCACCTACGGATGAACCTAGCACAGCAGGGCCACGGTCACAAGAGTGTGTGACACACATGCACACACGTCTCTCTCCATCTCTACCTACCTACCTATCTATCGAAATACACAGGAGACATATGTAATGTGTGCAGGTATTCCTGTTTCAATGCATCTATTTTAACTTCAAAATGTGGTTATAATTTTCATCACTTTTTACTTCCTATCCCAAACTGTTATATTTCCTCTAACACTAAATGTCACCTTAATTTGTCACCACAAAACTAATTTTAGAATTCTATGCCATTTTTCTTTGGACTCAAAAGTTCATATATTTAAGAAAAGACACATTAGGCCTCCATAAACATGTGAAATACAAATCATCTAAGTCAAAAATCTGTTATATTAATTTTATTTTTCAAGTGTAACAGTAACGATCAGCATTATTCTCTAAAAACTATTCCATTCATTCTGAAAAAGTTAAATGAGTGATCTGAGATCTAGGTGAGTGTGCAACAGTCTTCATTCCTCAAAGGGTCAGTGTTAGTTGTGACAGCTGAAGGTCTGATTTCTTCAAACTAGTTATCTGAGGATTTTCATTTTGATTCTCAGCGTTATGCTGAATTACATGAAGTTCAAGTCAGTGGTCTTGAAAAGAGTTCACAGGCCCCAAGAAAACGGAAGGGAGGTTCTTCCAAGGACTCAGAAATTGCAGCACTTAAAGCCTCAGCTGCCTTTTCAGCAATAACATACACATTTTTTCTAAATATGGTTGACATTTACTAGTAATAGCTATTATATTTAATTCAGTAGTTTAAACCAACCTTTCACTCCAATTTATCCTGAAGCTTACGTGACCTAGAACGGATGCTGATACTCTGATAAACCCAACTAGAGACAGACACCATTCATGCCATGTCACATACGACACGGGGCAGCGGGACACCCAGGACCAGCCTACCAAGGAACCTGTGTTAAGTGGCTGCAGCCCCTGTGGGGGAAGCCAGAACCATGACAGTGCAGCTTAGGGGAGGTGAATTCCTTCCCAAACCAGTCAGCCCACATAATAACAGCATTCTACCACCACCGCAGGCCTCGGCAGACCACTTTGTGGGTGGCCTAAGTTTTACAGGCCTTTTTATAACAGATGTACTAGATGAGGATAATGTTACACTGTGAATTAACCTGCAAATTCTTTAATGTAAATCTGCTGTTTTCCTAAACTGTAACCCTTTACTGCTCCTGTATTATTTACAGATTTGCTTACTTAAAAACCAAAATAAATTTTTTGTACGTTTACTTAAACTGCTAAGTACTATCACTCTAGGGACAAGATACTACAAACATTTAGTTTTTGTTATACACATTTCAACTGAAAGTCATTTTAAAATTATCTACTGAAAATAGACAAATTCATGTGCACTGGCTGACAAAAACAACCAGAACTATTAAAATTAATCTAAGTCTACTAGAGGAAAATGTTTTAAAACATCTTTTAAAATGCCCTGGCTAGGTATCAGACAGGAAATAATTAGATTTTGTTCAAGGAAGACCTCACCCACTAACATTTTATAAATACAACTCAAAACTGTCCCAAACCTATTTCTGAAATCTGTTCAACAGTAAACTCAATCCTCACAGGAAGGGTGCAGCTACCAGCGGAAGTGCTTGCCTGCCTGCCTGCCTGCCTGCCTGCCTACGGGCCCTGCTGGGAAGGGCATCTGCGATCTACAGGCCACACAGGGAGGTTTGCTGTTGCTGCTGTTCTTCTTGCTCTTGGACCTCACCAAAGCGGGAAGCTGGTTTAAGTTTGGGTGGAGTCCAGAGCTGCACAAAAACTTAGGAAATTCGCCAGCATAAGGAAAAACTATCCGTTTCACACACTTCTTCACTACAGTCACCAGTGTTAAATTCTCACAAACGTACTTCTAGGAATAAAGGAATAGGATAAAATAAACCATGAAGGTATTTTTCTATTAATTGTGCTTTCAGATGACTGGAAACGACTCTGGCGAAACAAAACCAATGGTAGCCGGGCATGGAGGCGCACTCCTGTAATCCCAGCAGCCAGGAGGCTGAAGCAGGGGAATCGCCATAAATTCAAGCCAGCCTGGGCTATGTAATGAGTTCAAGACCAGGCTGTACTACATAAAGAGGCCCTGTCTCAACAAACAAAACACCACATAATTGCAGTTTCCTTTATTTGAAATATTTATTGACACAAAACCTGTCAAATATGCCATTTTTGCGTGTTAAAAGAAATCAAAATTATATGCATTCCAACTTGAAAAGAGTAGTTTGCAGCACTGGTGGAGCTGAGTCATGCTGCAACGCATACATTACAGGCAAGGCAACTTAGCAGACGCGCGCCATCGGGGGTCTCCTCATCCCACATAATTTTATCTCATTTGGTTCAAACGCTGAATGCCCTGCTTCAGAATGCTAATGGCCTAGTGAGACAGGTAAACACATGCAGTAAAATATAGCATAAGACATTTAGATATGTGAGGTGGCAGGAAAGGCAGAAAAAATAGCAAAGTGGTTCCCAAGATGGTGTTTACTGAGTGTGAATCTGAATTCTACTACTGGGTACAGCTGTAAACTCGCCTCCAAGGTGTTCACGCCCTAATCCCTGGAGTCCGTGCTCACTTCACCTCACGTGGCATAACGACCTTGCAGGTGTGATTTCTGTTAAGGCCTTACGGGAACACTCTCCTGTGCCACCTAGGCGGCCCACTGGAGGAAGAGTCTTTAAAGGAGGAGCAATAGACCGAAGGTTAAGTGGCGAGCTTAAAGACGGAGGGAGGCAGGAGCTAGAACTCCTCGGCGGAAGGCAGTCTGCGGAAAGGAGAAAACGTAAGCTAACATCTCTCTGGAGCCTCCCGAGAAAGCAGAGCCCAGCAGACCCTTTCATGGGGACCCAAATGAAACCCATTTGGGCCCCCCCATACTCTGCAAGTTCGGGTGGGCAGTCACCAAGTTAAAACACATCTTAACAAATTTATCGGAAGTATGTTCTTAGGTAAAAATGGGATTAAAATACTGGGGGACAGCTCAGCGGCATAGCACCTGCCTGGCAAACACAAGTTCTATCCCTAGTACAAAACAAACAAACAATAGAAAAACAACCTGGAATATCCCTAAATATTTGAAGATTAAACATACTGCTAAATAATACAAGGTCAAAACAAGATTGCAAAAGAAAATTGCAAACATTTTGAATTGACAATGAAAATTTAAAACATCACACGAAATTTGTACAGTGCCACAAAAGCACTCGAGAACTTTTAATGTTAAGTGTACATATTGATAATCTATTATTAATAATCTAATACAGAGTAATCTAAGCTAAAAACTAGAAAAATAAGACCACAGGAAAAAGGGGCCGGGGAGATTGCTCAGTAAGATAAGCACTTGCCTAGCAAGCGCAAGGGCCTGACCTCAATCCCTGATTCTGCCAAAAAATTTGAAAAGAAAAAAAAAAAAAAAAA